CCCCAAAACCCCAAAACCCCAAAACCCCGAGGCATCGTCCAGTGAACTTAATATTTATTCTGAATGATCTGAAGATGGGTTATTTTTGGGAGGTGGGCTTCTGAACTGGTTGAGATTTGAGCTTGTTTTCTGGATGGGAGTTAGGACAGAAGAGAGTGAGGAAGTTAGGAGGATTGGAAGGGGGAGGTGTTTGGAGTCAGGCTTACGGATTTTTTGCTGATTTGGAGGTATTTTTGGATGTTAGTCTTGGAGAATAGGATATTCTCGTTACTAAAAGTATGGTTTTAATAATTTTACTCTCTTCCTTTTCTCTGGTTAAAAGATCCTATTTAGTAATATTAGAGGGATAAAGTTGGATAATAAATTTAATTCTTTTACAAAAATCCAGTATAAAGCTGACAAAAATGGTAGCACTAATTTTTATTAAAATTCCAAGGAGCCATCAAACTAGTAAAACTTACTTTGCTTAAAATTGATTCTCATTTTCTTCTTTGTGATCTTTTTTTTCTTGGTGATCTTTTTCTTCTTCTTGATAGTCTTAGATTTTTCCAAATCTCTTAGTGTTTGGTGTTCGATCTCTTTTATATTTCTGGCGTTTTGGTCTTTATAACAAAAATAAAACAATCCTTAATTTAGACTAAAAAGAAATAAGAAGAGAGCCTTTTGTAATGTCTTATTCTTATAGCTTTCTGAAATGATAATTTATCTAAAATTCTATCTTTTCATAAGAAAGCAGGAGAACTAATCTCGAAAATCTCCGATCGAAAATAGAAAGAATATATTCCTAATGTAATATCAGATAAAATTCTCTTATACTTATTTTCTAGAGATGAAATAGTAAAAGGTTTTAATTAGATGTACTAAAAATTTGATAGGAATTGATAAATTTAAAGGAACTTGTGTCATGTTATATTCCACAAAAATCACAGATAGTGAATTTCTATCTCCTTTCCTATTATTATACAATAGATCACATGTCTAACTGTGCTACCCCCAGAATGCCCAAGGTTGTTATGGCCTAAGCCTACAGTCTCAAGCCATTGAAGAGTATGAGCTTGGAGATTGAACTACAAGGGTATTCTAAAATCTGAAATTAAGGTGAAATCTGTAACTGATTCTACATAGAGAAGAAATCTACTGAAGAAGTCTTCATATTTTAGACCTCTTCATTTATCACAGCCACCTGCATTTGCACAAGACGCAAAGCAAAATATTGAAATTATTCCAATACCAGCTGGAACACCAGTCTTCGCATTACTAGCCTTCCAGTGGTATTTGACAATCTCTTCTATCTTATGTGGCCTAAGCATCCTTCCTCATTCTTCAGTTGTTTAGGATTTGAGAGGAGTCGAGATAGAGATTTGAATTGCTCTGGAATGGTTAAAATAAGGGAGGCGAGAATTCTGGTATCTCTATCCTGAATTTATGGAGTGGTTAAATGAATGTGAGAGGTATTACCTTTTTGTTGTTTTCTCAAAATAAAGCCCAAGAACTTGTATGCCTAAAGTTGATTATCAAAGATTCTTACCAATAGGAAAAGCTGTGAAGAATCTTTCATCGATTCTGATAACAAGTATATCCAGTTTACTAAGAATAGAATATTAGTAGCTATGCTCAATATCATTGTTGATACATTGAGAAAGCTAACTTTTTCTTCTTGAGAATACAGAAGTCCACTAAATAAAGTCAGTATTCCTGCATTAATTGCAAGCATTTCTAGATTGTTATTATATGAAATTGTGTAAGGTTGGAGCTTTATTTGGATTCTAGCAAAAACTACAAGCCCAACCACTGCAATCAGCATTTTCATTGACACTGAAAGAGGAAACAGAATCAGAATAAATATCTTCCTTGCTGTGTTCACAAACTCCCAGTAAAATTTGTTTCGCTTAAGCCCTTGATACAGAATCAGGAAGTACTGCTTGATCTTGTTGTTTGATTGTCTTTTAATGTAGATGAACAAAAGTGTCAAGGCTGTGATTGGAAGTGAAACCACCCAAACAATCAAAATTGGAGCAGATAAGATTGAAATATAAAGAATATGGTCACTCGAGTATCATTTGATGCTTGTGTCGAGAGTCACTCTGGAGTCTCCCTCATCGATTTCAACACATTGGAGGAGATTAAGACTTTGCTCTGTCAGTTTGGGGTGAAGCAGAAACAAAATACTTATAAATGATATTGCTAAATTTCTCTGCAGGTTCTTCACATATTTGCGCTTGATTAAGCATAAAATGATCCAAATTGAAGCCACTACTCCAAACAAAATCAAAGGGAGTAAAGCCAACAGGAATAGTTTCAATATTGCATTCGAACCAAACGGAGATGTTATCTGGTAGTCTCTTATGAAGCAGTCAAACGAGAGGAATGTTTGAGAAGTATCTCCAAATCTGTTCATAACTTCGAAGAATTGGACCATTGAGATGGGATAGCTTGACGATAGAGATAAGGATGCAAATATGAGTTGGAGATAGTTAGTCAATATTCTTAGTAGAACAGACAACTCACTCTCCTTGGTTTTCCTGATGTTAATAACAATAAGTGCCATCACAAAAGCAAAAACAATAAGTCCTAATCCAATTATTAGAATCGCATTCCATACAGGACTTGGGCATTTTTCTCATTTAGAATTGCCAATCTTTCTGTATTTCACATTTTCATTAGCAAGTCACTGTGCACACAACTCTCCTTGGTAGCCCTCTGCTCAGTCCACAGGATGGAGAGCTTCACTTGAGAATCCTCCTTTGCAAGCATCTTTGTTGATTCATTCAGCGATGAAAGTGGAGGTTTGAGAGGCCCTCCAGTATCCTGGGTTTACACTAACTTGGTTCCTCCCCAGTCACTCAGCATTGTCCATACACTTGACTCATTGGGTTGAATTCCATGTTACAGAGTAAGTTCCAGCGTCTCATTCTCTGCAAGTATTTTGATGGGTGATTTCTTCTCCAGGCTCTCAGAATCTGAAATCAACTGTGATGTAGCTGCTTAAGTCCTCATTTGGGAATGCTGTGTTAACTTTGTCACTGTCAATGGCACTAGTGGGAGCATTAAATGTTACATTTTTAGACCCTGGCTTGGATTCAAATATAATCCCTTCAACAGTGGCGATTCCAGATTTAAAAGGGAATGAATTTGTCCCTCCCACTGTAGAACGAGTATTATTTTGGGAGAATATTCCGACTTGATCTACATTGTTCAGATTCATTACTTGATTATCATAATCTAATAGAGTGAGCTCGACAGGAACAGATACAACTACCCCAGAGCCGATTCTAGTCAAATGAATTTGTGAATCTGAGTCATTTTTCATCTTTATTTTTACAGGATAACTAGCAAGATCTGGACCGTATTGTGCAGAGTTATTAATGAAAGTTGAATTAAATATTTTAGGTCTGATCAAATTGTAATAAATTGCTCCTCCTTGCACAGACGCAGAATTATTAGTGAAAGTGACATTATCAAAGTCTAATTCACATAGATCAGTCGAGGAGCATTCAAAATCAATGGCTCCTGCTTTGGTGGCAGTGTTATTTAAAAATATTGTATCTTTTATATTTGCGATACTATCTATTATCTTAACTGCTCCACCTTCAGCAAAGCTGTTCTTTTCTCCATTGTTTATGAAAGTCGAATTAGCAATCAGACCAACTTGACTTCGTTTAATACTAATAGCTTTAAAACTGCTGGCAATTAGTACTTTCGATATCACTTTAACACTAGATTTAGTAATAGCTATTACAGTTTTGTCAAACCCATCAATGTTGAAGGAATTCAAAGATACATTCAAAGAGCTTTCTATCTTGATGATTTGATCTGATTTAGCCTTCAAATCAGATAATGTTGCATCTGAAATTTTCACACTTTGGCAAGAAAAGAAGAGGGCCAGATTGTCGAAATTAGTGATGTTACTTGCTGTTACTATGCTCAAATCAGCTTTCCCAGAAAGAACTCTCAGCAACTTCGTATTAGAATTCTTGTAAGTAATGTTGCTTGCAGTTATCTGACTTTCATCATTGACCAAAAATATCTCTTTAGCTGAGTTATCTTGAATGTTTGTCAACAGAATATCTTGAAGCTCAAAAATTGATGATGTAAGCTTTACTGGAGTATTAGTAAAGTTGATGTCTCTGACGATTGAACCAGCTATCTTTAAAGACGACATGAATACATTTAGCATTCCATTCTGATGATGGATCTGGCTGTTATTAATGATCTCAAGTGAACCAGAAACTACTTCAATAAGATCGAAACCTTCAGGAATGCTTTGCAATTGACTGTTTTTGATATAATCGGTTAGCCTTTGATTCAAGAATCAGAGTTGTGAACAAACTCCAGAAGTTTCTTGATCAAACACCTTTGAAGTTATGATGGAATTATTGAAGATCTGTGTGCTATCAATAACACTAATTTTTGATGCATCAACTATTTGCCCAATTGGTTTTTGAATAGCAATATTCTCAGTGATAGTACAGTTAAAAAAACTTGAAATAGCCATTAGTCAAGACAGAGATTACTGCACTGCTAATGCCAAAATTATGTGAGACGAATCATGAATTTCATTCCAAATAAGCATTTAATTGTACATTAAACAATGTCGATGTTACAGCTGCATTTCTCGTGAAGTTTGTGTTGTAAAACTTTGTAATTGAACTTGATGTTGCCTCAACAATTCCTGACCAATCAGACGATGACGAAACCGAATCAAAAGAACTTTCAATAAAACTCACTGTCGCTTGTTCTGATACTCTGATCAAAGATTGTGAAATAGAATATATGTTGCTGAAAGTACAATTTCTAAAAGAAACTTCACGAACAATATTGGGAAGTGGATCAGACCCTCTTAAAGTAATCGAGGCCGACTTCAAGTCAGTGAATACAGAGTTTTCAATGATCACTGGATTGGCTAAGCCATGGTCAAAGAACAGCAAGTCCCCTTTGCTTTCAAATGTCACATTTGAAGAATAAAACCCATTCAACTTCAAGGTGAAGTCAGCATCGCTTTCGAGGTTTGAAGTTGAAATTATTGATCTTGTGCTTGTCAATACAGAATCTCGAACAGTAAAATTCTTAAGCTCAAACATACTTGGTGAAGTATTATTGTTGATAATAGATCCGAACTTTAGCACAGAAATTCCACAGTCTGAGATATCGGTATTCTCAAGAGTTGAGCTGAGATTTTCTTGCATATTCAGAGCATTCACATCAAATATAGCTGAACGTTCATCTTGGATCTGGTTTACTGTGATATTTCTAGCTGTGAAATTATTCAAAGTTATACTTCCAATTGAGTTTAGTTGAAACAAAGAGAATCCTGTTTGTGCAATGCTATCGATAATAGTAACATTCTTAATTTTTATAGCTTTTAGATTTCCTAAAATAGCTAATAATCCTCTTAATCCAGAATTGAATCCTTGAACATGAATTCCTTCCAGGATAACCTGACTGTCCTCAAAAATATTTAATGATACTAAGGATAAACTCTTCGAAGAGGAAGCAGAAATATTGATCAGTCTGATATTAACAATTTCAATATCTTGAACACCAGTAAAACTAATGAGATTAGAAGAGAACCCTCCAAAATTCTTGAAAATTGCTTCTTCTGAATTAGAGATTTCGCCTTGAGAAAGAAGACTAGATGGGTTACCAATGATCACTTTCTTCCATCCGGATATAATCATCCATGCAGAATCAATAGTAGAATTTTCAAACCTAAAGCTTTCAAATCTGACAGTGTCTATTTTAGATCCCATAAGGTTCACCGGCTGGCGAGTGGTGTCTTGGTACCCGTACATAGTTACATTTCTGTATGTCATAAAAACTGGTCTGTACAATCCAAATTTTGTAGAACATGAAATATGATTAGATCTTCCTCCCTTAGAGTTATCTAAGGTAAATCGTAAATTTTCAAAAAGAGCAGTATGGATATGATCATCATTAGGAAGGCAATGTGTGCGGAGTATCATAAAAAAGAGAGTATAAGTAAGAGAATCTACCATTGTATAATGGTCTTCAGCAATAAAATTTTTCACAGTCCAGTTTCCAGGATGGTTTGATCCAAAAACTCTTGGATGAAAAACAGTTGTTCTTTCATGTGAAGTGACAATCTTTATACCATCAACATTAACTGTAGCTTGCTTATTTGCTTCAGGATAATTGCAATACATTCTAGGAACCATAATTTTAGTCATACTATAAGTATCGAATGTTATGTCTCTTATAACTCTATATGATATAGGTTAGTCAATTTTCATTGAAAGTTGTGAAGATTTCATATAAATCTTACAAATTGAATGGATCAGTAGTTTCTAGAAAAGCGCCTGTGATATTTATCATCATATTTGCTATATTCAGAGTGAGAACAGGACGAAAAGTAATTTTTGGAGCTTAAACTACTTACAAAGGGTTAAAGTTTTATTTTGAAGGTATATCCCTTGATAAAATATGATATTCTTGTTATAATCTTCTTCTTCTCTGTACAAATCTACACTCTCAAGTTTCAAACCTGTCCTAGCAAATACAATAGTTGCTCTACTCAAAATTTGTAGCCTTTCTGTATCAGAAAAATCTCCAGCATCAACAACATTTTCGACTGAGAAATCAGCAGTATTTAGGAGATGGAGCCGAGCTTTTTTGCTGATCCCAACTTGAGTGAACTCTGTGGGAATTATCAACGCCTTTCTACTAACTTCAACATATTCTGGATGGCTCTTGATTGTGAGTTCTGTCATATTCAGAGCAAACAAAGTGTGGTCTTCCAAGTAAACATCTTTCACATTGATAGTCACAAATACTTCATGATGAGAAAGAAAAGTAAGAATCTCAGAACTCACAGCCTTCATTGTCCTGTATGGATATTCTCTAGTTCCAAGCTCCAATATTTCAGAGCTTAATGGGTCAACATAATAGTTTGGGGTTCTGCAAGCACTTGGAACAGACAGGCTTAGTCCTTCAAGCTTAATCTGTGATGCTTGACAGTCATCGACACACTCGAGAGTTTGTATGTCTAAGCTCTGTCCAGGATCTCATGCCATGCATGTTTTTCTATAGCTTCAAACTCCCAAGCAAGTATCCATTCAGCTTTTGCAAGATTCTGACTTGGTATCATAATATTCGTCGTCAGCTCAATGAACACAAAGAGAAGAAGTTGAGTCTAAAGTCATGAATGGCTCACAGCTGTCACAGGAAGTATCATTAGAACATGTTTTACACGAACTGTCTCAAGGTTTACAACCTTGATTAAACTTGAAGAATCCTTCAGAGCATCAATCAGTAGTCTCAAATCACAGAATTAACATAATAAATGCTCAAAATACCATCCTTTTAATTTTCCATTTCTATAATTTAGATAGTATTGTGATACGAGAAGTTGTATTTTCAGCAAACAGAAAAATTACAGAAATCTCTAAAAACATCGAAAAATTCAACCTACTAAAAAAAGTAACAGTAATTAATAATATATTATCCTGGCAACTCATGGTTTAAATCGTCTCAGCATTTATGTGAGACTAATAAAATGGTAAATTAACTTTAAGCACAACACCAAAGACAAAGCCTTGGTTTTTTACATGCTGAATTTCTGATGATAGTTGATTTGAAGAATTGACACTCGGAGTCTAAGTTCAATCGAAACATAAGGCTACTAAATAAACTGTTTATCATAATCATAAAGTTAATAGAGAGTTTATTAATCAAGGGATAGTACCTCTATTTTGAATATACCTAGCAGCTTGTTTACCTGGAGGAATGAAAATTTAGTGCTATCTCAAGCAACGAAGAAGCCCAGGAAGGTATTTAATAATAATCAACTGCTATTTTTAGTACTATGGCTTATAGCAGATTCAGATAGTGGTATTATTACAAGCCTGAATTAATCATATTTTGTATAGCTTATCAAAATTTATCAATAAATTCGAACTATCGAGCTTTAGAACTCCTGACAGAAGGATACATGCAATCTTTGGCCACTCTTATATTAATTTCTACTAATACTTTTCTTAAATAAAGATGGGGAAACTCCATGCTAAATATTCCCAAGTTTTGGGAATACGTCCTCTAATCAAAAATTGTGCTGGTATATATTTTTCTAGTCAAATAAAAATTATTGGCACCCAAAAGAGTTTGCTTTGGCCACTTCTCGGGAAGCTAGTGTAGGCTAGTAATATTATTAAGAATTTTTCAAATATAGCTCATTAGAAAACTGTATAAAATAATGTAATTTTGTGATGCTTTCTATAGCTCATAATTGTTGGAATTCGACTATATAAGCTTAAGAAATACTGTAAAAGTCTACTTTACCAAATCAATATTTAATTCTTATTTGGGATAATTTATATTTCAGAGATTAAAGTTTAAACTGAATTAATTAATGGCAAAAAATTGATAACTATTTCTTACAAAATCAGCTCAATAAAAAGTGCAAAAATGAAATAAGAGTTGACTAACTTTAATCATCTTCTAAGATAATTATAATAACCAATAAAACAGCTTTAGTAGATTATCTAGCTTGGTTAGATCAAATATAATTAGTGAGTTGTAAATAACTCGGAAGTCTTTAGAAATGCATAGGAACTTCAACCCATTTTCTTCCATCTAAGTTTTAAAACGAGTCTATATCTGTTATATCTTCATTTAAACCTTTATGAATTTAACTAAACGAAAATTCTTATTGCAAAACTCTTCAGGAATCGGTATTTGGCTCCTTTTCACCGGGATACTTACTTTCTTCATTGCCTTAGATTGTTTTGTTATTAAATTATATAATTCAAAGCTTCCCCAGCAATTTGGGGTTTTGGGGTTTTGGGGTTTTGGGG